TAGTTTCAGAATGAGGCATTTGTATTTGTCACTAAGCAAAAACTACATTAAGAGTCAAATATGCTCAGCATTGTGAAATTAGCACTGAGGGGGCCGAAAAGAAATAGGTGTAGAAATACCTCTTATATACAGTACACACACACACACACACACACAGAGAGATATCTCTGCCTCACACTGAAAGCTCGGTCTTGCAAGATAATCTTGTGAAATGCTGAGTAAGTCCTACAAGTGGAGTGCAGCTTCAGTACTGGCCAGTGCTTGTTGGCTTGAGGGGATACTGTTATCTGGCTGGAGGCACAGTTACATCTCCAGTCTGCTATCTTAAACATGGAAATCAGCAGCACATGTCAGTGTAACATGGACTATACTGCACCCACTTCAAGGATTACAGAGCTACCTCTCCAATGTGCATATCCCAGGAGCTCACTGGAGAATTCTTCCTGAGGTCTCCAGCCACAGTATGGCTCCTCCATACTGCCTTGCAATCCACCTCCAGGATGCAGAGCAGAATCTTACCCTTAGCTATCATTAACCAAGTAACTAACAACTGCAATATAATTTGAATTTCACTTTATCCTTCCAATCACAACCAAGATAAAATCGCTAAAACATTGTCTTAAATATAACAAAGTTTAAAAATTAATCGGCTTTGAAGATGTCACCATGACAGTGTGATGATCCACAACAGGAGTAGCAGAATCAGCCTTCTGATTAGAATGTACAGGAAATCTAAAAGTTTGGCCAGGTTATAAGCCTCTACAACATTTTTTACACATGCTCAATAGAGGCTTGATAGAGACTTTCAGTAAACATTTCCAAAGATTTCATCTGCAGTGAATATGTTCCAGCCTATTCCATCAGGGCTTAGCAGCACTTTCATCCCAATTGCTCTTCCTGGCTGCCAGGGACTACTGTGATACTTAGCACTAGAACTGAAAGCAGAAAGATTGTCTCTCATGCGTTGTGAATGCTCCAACTGCTGACACCTAGACAGCACAGAGGACAAGGAGGAAGCAGCCTGATTCAAAAGAATCAGGGGACTGTGAAGGAAATAGGAAAAAGGGAACAGATGCAGGCTGGGAGACAACGGAAGCAGAGGTAGACAGGAATAAGCTAGAGGGGAAGATTGTTATTCAGTATTTCTTTTTATCTTCCCCATTTAATGTGCGGCCTCAGGCCTTATTTACTGCATACACTCCAAAACCTGCACTTAATACAGAATTATGTTTCAGCATGGACTTTCCTATGGCTCTTATTGCTGTAGTATCTAGTGATTCAAAAACGAATGAATTTATCTTCACAACACCACTGTGAAGTAAGGTAGATTGTTCCCATTTTACAGATGTAGAACAGAGGCACAGAGAGATTAAAGCCAAAATTGTCAAAAATGTCTACTAAACTTGAGTGCCCAACTTGAAATGCTTGATTTTTTCAGAGTACTTTGCATTATATAGTGCTTTATATGTTCACACATAGAGGTCCCATTGACCTCAGTTGTAGTTGGAAGTGCTCAGCACTTCTGCAAACCAGGTTTCAAGAGTCTCAAGATAAGCACCAGGAAATGAAAAAAAACTGTTGTATCAACCAGGCAAGGTATGCCAGCACCCAGTCTGCACTGGATGACTTCACCGTAGAACCAACACAACAAGACATTGCACGGGAACCGGGGCTTGAGAGACGGCCTGTCAGATCCAGACAACCACCTGCCTGGACTAGAGACTATGTTATGTAGTATCTACAGTGTTTTCAGTGTAATATTTTTGCCAATAGTATAGTGTCTTGTTTCATATTTGTTCCTGTCGTTAGAACAACAATGTTTATTTTATTTGGGAAAGTTTCTTAAGAGAGGAGAGAATGTGGTGTTTAGATGCTGCTTGTATTATTAGAACTGGGAGCACTGGCTGTTGGGAGTCTGAAAGGACAGGAAACAGGAAGGAGGGGGGAGGAGTTGAGGCTGAGTGAGAGTTACAGAGTGTGCAGCTGCAGCTTGGTAAAGAGGTTTCCACTGTAAAAATAAAGTCCTGTTGAAGCTTGTTAATACCTTGCCTGGGTGATACAACAAAAACACAATTAGTGACTACCTGTGAAAAGTTTGGTTTAAACGACTTGCCCCATATCACAAAAGCACTCCAGGACAGAGGCGGAGATGGAATCCAATTATCTAGGTGGCATTCAGTCACCTTAAACAGAGACCATTCTTTCTCTATACATTGCACACGTTCCAATTTATGCAAAAATAAGACAACAGGGCTCCTATAGAAAACAGACCCATACACTACACAACCCTGATTTCATTCTTAGAGCACCATCCATCCTGTGCACTAAATGAGATAGGAATCTTGTGCGGGAAAAGTATGTGAGCATGTAATTATACAAGGACAACCTTAATTATGATATTTCTTAACTTTTGAGTGCTTGGCTTTGCAACGTTCATGTTCTTTTACCTTAGTTTTTTGTATGTAATGCATTCTTAATTAGTAAATATTTACTTAGCCTGCAGAAAGGCAATGGAAAAACAAAAATCTCAGTTCCACTGCACAAAGAGTCTCAACAATGCAGAAATCATGGGAGGGACTGTGTTTTCCCTGCTTACACACAGCAACCTTTATATGAAGCAAGTATGGTATTCCACGGTAGCAGTCCATACCCTTCCATACTGTAGTGTTTTGGATCATTCATGCAGCTACTGTAGTTTTCTTTGTTAATAAGGGAGTGCTCTCAATATCACTAGGCAGAGGGTTTAGGGGTTGGGCAGGGGCAGGGAAGACTTGTGACCTGTGGATCTGTCACTAATGCAGGTCCACTGGTCAAAACCTCTAGAGAAAGGGCAGGAGCCACACACAGTACTGCAGTTCTGAGGCTACAGCAGCAGCTGCAGAGCAGCTTTTCTGTGATGGGAAGAACTAGACATTTATATGGATAATGAGAACATCCTAAACTACATTTGATAGGATGAACATACATTGTAAGGGATATAAGTCCTCACCCTTTTAGGCAGAAGTCAACCACTATCTGGTGGGGGTTGGGAGGAAACTTCCCCTATAGTCATCTTATTTCATAACTGTGCACTACATCTTGAACCTTCTTCAGAAACACTTGGTACTGGCCGAGAGGATGCTAGACCACTGCTTTGATCCTTCATTTCCCACAACCGTCATGGATGTCTAATGTGCACAGCCAGCTTACTCAGAATGTGAATGGCTTTGGAGCCAGGATTTGCCCTGAAGGTTCACAACTGGAATTTTCATTGAAAGATCAAACCGCAGGTAGCCACAGTTCCATCTGTCCTGCTAGGTAACTTCTATTTAATAACACTGAGTTCATGTTTAAAAAAAGATATTGTCTTTGTGAGAACAGGTGTAATTTTAAAGCAAAAATACTGTGGTTCCAATTTAGCAAGATACTTAAGCATGTGCCTAATTTTAAGCATGTGAGTAATCCCATTGATTCAGAATTATTCATATGCTTACAGTTAGGCACATGCTTAAGTACCTTGCTTAATTAGGGTCTATAGGCACAAGGGGCCATCATCCTTAATAGAAACCAAACCTATTTTATCATAATACAATCATCACTGAAGGAAATAGCAGCTCAGCTAGGTACAATGCTTTCACCTGCTCCCCAATTCCTGGCCAAGAAGGGAGGAACCCTTCCACCTCATGAAGACAGCAGTAATTTCCCTATATCCACTACAGTAGCCCATCAACACACACACACACAAATCAGCAGTGCTCAGGAAAACACAAGGAGTAAATCAACATGCACTGAGAGCAAGAGCATATGTGAAACCACTTTACATTTCATATATGTCAGAGAATCTTGTTAGGCCAAGGTTGCTTCTAGCCCACAAATCCTTATTGGTAAATTCTTCCTGCTTTGATAATGCGGACAAAATCTACCTCTATACAGGCACAGGAAAGCATGAATAATGGCTTTTCTACTTCCCTCCCTATGAAATGAAGCAAGGTATTTTAAAATTAATCAGACCCTCTAATTTCTCACGCTTAGGCTTCATGCCCTTCTTCTGATCTCTGGCTGTGTACTCCAGTGCTTTTCTCTAGTGCTTTCCCTGGCTAAAGAAATCTTTTTGTAGTCAGGAAAAGGTAAGGAAAAATAAAAAACAAGAATTGAAGAGACAAGTCATGGAGCTGCATGAGCTCTCCACCCCCTGAGTCATTCTGCTGCCTCTCACAGTCTGTGATATGTGATTAAAAATAATAAAGAAAAAATCATATTTGTGCCTCAAACAATACAGAATGGAATTTTTAAAATAAAAATTTAGCCTTCGAATATAAAGCAATTCACATTATGTGTCTTATGTGAAGTCCGCAGCGGTGTAAAATTGTATTTCATTATAGGTATCCTCCATTCTGTCTTCAATAAGGGAGAGGCTAGTTTTATTTTATTTAATTATTTATGTAATTATTTATTTTGGGGGATAAAAACCCAACAAATCTCCAATACCTTCCAAGAGAAGGAATTTAGAATATAAAGCAAAGCCTCTGTCTGAAGATGGTATAGAGAAGCAGCATACCCCTGCAATATAAAGCTTGGTAATCTCACTGTCTTGTTAATATGCTTTAACATTTCACTCCAATTTGCATTTTGCATAAAGCATCAATATAACCTTCAGTGAAGAAATATAACACTTACAGATGACAACAGCAGCAACAACAACAAAATACTACCACTGTGATGAAAAAAAAAAGAATTGATTCTAAATAAAATTACAAAATATACCTGAATTCTAAAGAATATAAGGCCAGTGAAACCCAAAGGATACCAAAATAATTTATTACTAGACCCAGATGTAATTTTAGCACAAAAACAGTATGAAAATGTTAGCCAGCTGAAAGGATGGCTTTGTATTCTCTGTTCCTCTTGTTGCATCTAATATTAATTGCAGACTAGGTGTGGCAGCATGAGAGAAGAACATTGGCATAAATGGGCTGAGATATATTGTCTGATACCTTTAATGAAATATTCTGTTTTCTTACCTGATAAAAAGAGAATTACAAATCATAGCATAATATACATCCATATACTTATAGATGATCAGGCTCCTTCTGCTGCAGTTGTTCAGGTTCCTCAGCAAAGAAGCTTGTAACTCTTATATTTATATTAGCCTCATGGAAAGAAAGAAAGAAAAACCCAACAACAAAGAAACCTCTGCAGTATTCTGTCTCCTCTGCCCTAGCTTCCTGTTATGAGATTCACTCTATGGTCCCCAACATCTATCAGCAAACTGATGTGGGGGGAAGGGGTGTACTGATGGAGGTGGAGGGGTGGGGAGAAAAAAAGATAATGTTAAAAAAAAAAAAGACAGCATATTACATGACAGCGCCACCTACTGGCAGAGAGAATTAGATCATCTAGTTTTTTTAACACCCTTATGGTCAGAACTGCAAGTTATCTTAAAAAAACTGGTATAATCACTATTTAGCCTACAACCACATTGATCTAAAAGAAGAAAATATGAACTATTGAATCTGACCACTAAACACTTAGTAAAGAGTGAGGTGAGGCATAAGAGACTTATAGTTTTCTGATTTTATATTAATAAACTTGTTTGACACAATTTTTGCTTTTGTTGGATCCATATATTATGAATCGCAAGAAAACTCAGGGCACTATAACATCTTCCCTTTGTTATATACCAACATGTGGCCTCTTTACATATAAAATTATCATCCCCATGTCAACCTCCTCCTAAAAATGACTTAATGTTAAAGATTGCTTTTTGGCCATACAATGCCTTCAGCCTTGGTTTGGTTCTGTATGACCTAAAGTACATTTCTATAATTCAAAAATTAATGATCTGATTCCTATGTAAAGGGATAGATGCTTGGGTTTGGGGCAATGAGCATAACATCACACAGGAGGAAGGAATTAAAGAAGTGTAAAACTCACTTTTGTGTTTCCCTAATTTTGGCCAGCCTCTATATAATTTTGGTCTGCATTGTAAATTAATCCATTAGAAGGATAAATACCAGGGAGGGAGAGGAGTTATTTAAGTTAGGCACCAGTGTGGCTAGAAGAACATATGGATATAAACTGGCCCTCAACAAGTTTACTCTTGAAATTAGACAAAGGTTTCCAACTATCAGAGGAGTGAAGTTCTGGAAAAGCCTTCTAAGGGGAGCACTGGGGGCAAAAAACCTAACTGGCTTCAAGACTGAGCTTGATAAGTTTATGGAGGGGATGATATGATAAGACTGCCCATAATGACACGTAGCAGCAAATATCTCCAATGGCAGGTGATGGGACACTAGACGGGGAGGGCTCTGAGCTACCACAAAATATTCTTTCCCAGGTGTCTGGCTGGTGGATCTTGCCCACATGTTCAGGGTCTAATTGATCACCCTATTTGGGGTCGGAAAGGAATTTTCCCCGTGGTCAGATTGGCAGAGACCCGAGGGGGGTTCACCTTCCTTTGCAGCATAAAGCATGCATCAGTTGCAGGTTTAAACTAGTGTAAATGGTGGATTCTCTGCAATTTGAAGTCTTTAAATCAATGGTGGACAACCTGCAGCCTGTCAGGGTAATCCGCTGGCGGGCTGCAAGACAGTTTGTTTATATTGACCGACCGCAGGCACAGCCGCCCGCAGCTCCCAGTGGCCGCAGTTCGCCGTTTCTGGTCACTGGGGCTGTGGGCGGCTGTGCCTGCAGATGGTCAATGTAAACAAACTGTCTCGCAGCACATCAGCAGATTACCCTGACAGGCTGCAGGTTGCCCACCACTGATTTAAATCATGATTTGAGAGCTTCAGTAACTCAGCCAGAGGCTATTGGTCTATTACAGGAGTGAGTGGGTGAGGTTCTTTGGCCTGTAGCGTGCAGGAGGTGATCATGATGGTCCCGTCTGACCTTAAATTATGCTGACTGCCAGTGGCCCCAAGACTGATATGGCTGCCCCAGCCACACTCTGTTTTGCTCTAGTCATGATCTTTATGTCAGCAACAGTTGGTGTGTAATAGGAGTCACTGTGCTACTGGAGGATCCCCTATAGCGGGGTGATTCATCCACGGCTGGTTACATGTATGGATTGCTCTGGCAGCATGGTATAAAGTGGCCACACTCCAGCGTAGACTCTAGGATAAAATATCTGGACTACAAGTGCAGGATGAAAGTTTAAAATATTTCCTGGTGTCACAGAAAACAATGTATTGCTCCATGGAAAAATTGAGATTATGGAAACTAGTTTTAATGCTTGCAAAAAGATGGACATAAGACCGTTTCTTCCAGAAACAGAGAGAGAGAGAGATTCTTTGTGAGCACAGGAAAAGCAGCTAACTTCTGGGCTGCCAGTCATGAAGTAGGGAGGAGAAATAATTTTAACTCTCTATATGGACTCTACCATGAAAGATTAACCTTTAGCCACTCTAGCATAATCTAGCATTTATGCTGCATTGTCTTTGTCTTGATGTTTTATTTAATTTAATTATTGTTTTATGTTTCCTTTCTCAGTATGGCGGGATCAAATGTCAATTGTCAATGATCTCTTTTCATTTGATGTAGGACCTATTTCTCCACAGCTTTGGTTATATAGTCATTTATACCTGTGCAAAATATAAAATGCTACCATTCAGAATTGTTAGTGATTTGCACTTTTCTTTTCTATATAGGTTCCAGTATTGTCTTCAGGGCCGTAGTATCTGTGTGCTTTCCAATACTACATCAGTGTGACTAACCTCTGTCACACATGGATCATTCTTTGTCTCAGTCTTTCCCCAAAGGGAAAAGTATGTGTGTAGTGTAGTGTTTTATTTTGGTAGGTTTTGACTTTATTTTAAGTTGAAATGTGTTTATGTTAGAGACATCAAGGTTGAAGACATTCACCTTGCACTAGGAGCAGAAGATGGTGAGGTTTGTGATGGCTCACTCCACAGTCTCAGCCTGACCCCTGAGAAAGCTCTGTCTCCTGCACTCCTGGTAGAAATTTCTTTTCTCTTGTGAAGTGGAATTGTTGACCACAAACCTCATCCCAAAGATTTAGGTGATCCATTAGATATGATGGTCTCAGGCCATTGAGCACACTGAAGTAGTCTCTGGGAAGGCAGTGTAACATGAGGAGGTCAGGCTGATGTGCTTGTGGTAGTCCATGTTGCTGAGGAGACACACTGCAGTTTTATATACTAGTTGCACTCACTGTCTATAAGACTAAATGACAATAGGAGGTGAAGGAAGTGGAGAACCAGGCCCATTGAGTTCCTCCATATGCCAATATGTCTTCATGTTAGTCCGGTATTGGCCACTGTTGTGTGCTTGGAAGAATCAAGGACATGATCTGTCACAAAGACCAAGCCTTCCCTCACATCAGGCCAATGTACATTGTTACTCCAATTATTGTAGGAGATTCCTCATGTACTAATTTTTGTAACTGCCTACATGCTTATATATTTTAGGGTAATTTGGTTGTAAGACATCCCTTGCTATAATAAATAAATATTATTTGTAGTTTGAGAGAAAAGCAAAATTACAAAAGTAGGCTATACATGTAATATATGGATATTTCCTAACCAACTTTATCATGCCATTATGTTTTGTCTGTGATTTTTAGATGAAAAAGTTTGTTTTAGCTTGTATGAGTGTCAGAAAGAGGCAATAATGCAATTTTTTTCCAGAAAAAACACACCATTCATTTCCATTAACTAATGTTCATTATTAATCTGTAGATCATGTGAATTCAGTTGGGTGTTGAAGATGGATCTACAAGAGAGCAGAGTCTGCTTTATTATACAAGCCATGATTCTTGTAAATATTCCATCTGAAAATGAACATTAAGGGTCTAGTACACAACGCTTGCAACTAGTTTTTGGCTGAACAAAAACTATGGGAGAAAACCCTGAGCCAAATCCACTGCAAAGAAAATGACAGGTGGTTGGCATCTCCTGCTGCTGGGCTGGCTTACAAATATCTCCAAGTCTTTGAGCCTAATCAGCATGGCCAAGAGGGGACTATGAGTCTAAGACAAACCTCTGCCTCCTTATTTTTTTCTGCCTAGGCGTACACACTGAAGGTTCAGGAACAATGGTTGCCCTCTTCAGACGTTCTTTTGGAATGTGAGAACAATGTGCACTAGTATGTCAAATGATCTAGAGGTCAGTGACCCTAGAAAGCCTGAAATCATTGACATAATCTGGTTTCAAAAAGTGTGGCTATCTGACATAGGTGTTGTAGGAGCAGTAGCGATCTGTATGCTATGTATAACCTGTATGCTTAAAAAGTCAGTTACACCTTCCCCCCCGTTTGTGTCTCCTCTCCCTCTTTGAATGCCTGTGAAGTGGCTTTCCCCCTCCCACTTCCTCCTGGAATGCTTGTGGGATGAATGAGCAGCTGGAAGATCAGACAAGGTGTCTGGCACTCTGATTAGGCAGCAAGCACACGTCCAGTACATGGACACTGCATGGACACTGTCCGAGGTGGAGTATGACCAACCAGACACGGCCAAGTCATCTCTAGTCACAGGCCATGAGGAGCAGGTCCTTAAAAGGGGAAGGGGCCATGTGCTCAGGAGTGCACTCACAAGATTGTACCTCCCATGAAGGCCCTTTGCCCGGACCGCTGGGTCAGTGGTTTGCTGTATTGCATTCCATTGTGCCTTGGGAAGACTTACCTTCATTGCACCATCCATCGCTGCACTATGGAACACTTACCTTGAAGGATCCTGACATCTCCAGTGCCATGCCTGTCCTGGGAGTGTGAGTATGTGAATGTGACATCCTCCCCTCCTTCTTTTGAGCTTAGCTATCAATATAATAAACATGCTGCTTTCTGCTAAACTCTGGTGGGTCATTAGTCCTCCCTAAGCTTACTAGCTGGCCCAATTTCGGGTAACAACAGGCACTCTACAGGAGATGCATTATACCTATTTTCTGGCACAGAACAAGCAACAAGACTGCTGCAAACATGAGGTAGGTTTTGCAGTCAAAAACTTATTAGTGGCTGTGGTCACATTTCCAAGTGCAGCATCAGAATGCAACATGTCACTAAGAATATCTAGTACAAGTGGCTTTGCCAGCATAAGTACATATGCCTAAACATTTTCCTCCATCTCTGGAGAGAAGGGATTGACCTCTCTGCTGGCTGCCCTGGTCACCCAAAAAATACTGCTGTGGAGGGTCGCCTGACCACTCCTGTGGCTTCCATTTGCTTCCCCATCAGAAAGTCATTTTTTTTGCAGGGAAGCAAAGAAATCTGCGGGGGACATAAATTCTGTACATGCCAGTGGTG